GCAAGTATAGTTGATTATTACATTTATTTATATATTTATTTATTTATTTATTTATTTATTTTTTTTTTTTTGACTCAGCCTTACTTTAATATAAAACCATTATTATTCATTAATTTTCTACATGAAATGTCAAAAAACCAATGATTAATAGTATTACTAACAAATTGGTTCTCTCGACTAAAGGATACGTTCTCATAAAAGTCTCGCCAATACGAAATTAAATTTCTCTTCCTCCTAGATCACCATTAAAGCGAATATCGACTGGGACTTACAAAACTCTCCGACTCACAACTATTAGCAGCACTTGTCACGCCAAAACCGTTAAGTTGGCGATTAACTTGGGACGAAATAACTTTATCGCCTCAAACCTATAATATACACACACACACACACACCCCTATATATATATATATATATATATATATATATATATATATATATTAATGCTCGTAATGAAATGCAAATAGATTTCAAGATAAATAGTCACAGTTCATCGGCATTGACAAAAATAGAAGGATTTCTAAGGACAATAGACATTCTACGAGTATTTATTTATTGGGAGAAAATCTCATTATGCTTATGAGAAATCAAAAGAGCGTTTACAACTAATTGCGATTACGATAATAATATGTACCATAAATTGAATTGAACTTTAAAATTTTTTTGAAACTTAATTCTCATTTACCATAAACTGTTTAAGTCTGATTAAAATCATGCAATATTTAGTTCATATTATAAAAAAATATTTCGTTAACTTTAATTACAAAAGAGATCCAATTGTATGCCTATAGATTAGATGCAACTCCCTTTGAATTGCAAACATTAGCCATTGTTTACTAATATCTGAAAATATAAGTTCTTAAACATTTATAATTGTTCATAAATAACAAGAAATAATGCGGATTAGGTTTTAATTGTATTTATTATAATAATTATGGGCTAATTAAATTTTATTTTATATTCAAATATACAATAATTGTTGAACAAAATATACATTAAGTGTTATATTGTTAATATTATAATCACAATTATTTGCTCATTAGCTGTTTAAAAATTACTAAACAATATGAGTTCATGAGTACTTCTGTGTTTCATGATGTATATGTGTGTTATCATATGCGCGCGCGAGAGTCGTGTGTGAATTGGCATGTGTTTATTTGCTTATGTCGGCGTATGCATGCTTGTACGTATGGATTTGCGCGCGCGCGCGTGTGTGTGTGTGTGTGTGGTACGGTAGAGCGCATGTGTGCGTTAGGTTATAAGTTTACTGACTAGTAGAAAAATTATAAACAAACAAATAAACGAGAAAGTTTGTAGAATCCTTTATTAGGAAATAACGAGTAAATACATTCATAATGATAAGTATATTATAAATCAATTTGTGCAATTATAATTAAAATAAGGTCGCTAATAAAATTTGGCTAATGTTTTATTTTTTATATAACCATTATTAGTATGTATAACAATAAAATAATTTTTTAATATAAATATGATTACTTTTGCTATTTCGTCTATAATAATAGATTTAAAAAGGGAAATTTTGCATGGAATGATATATCAGAATCCATATAAATTGTCATAAACAATGCATAACTAATGGCAAGTGTATTAAGAACCTAATAGACGAATAAAAGTAGTTTGTACTTTCCTAGGCATTCATAATACAAGAAAAGTGATAAACATACTATTAAATGGTGAGAATTTTGCAATTGTAACTGTTAATATATGGTGGTCCAAAGATGAATACAATGCAATATATCGAGCTTGCAAAAAAGTAAATAAATCCATATACAGATACAAAGTAAATTAAGTTTATTTATGTAAGAATATTCAACGTTATACTTGTTCATTTAATTATTCGCAACGAAGTTGAGATTTTCAAACATTGAATATTGCATAAACTTGTTGAAAATAAATAAATAAACTTTAATGAAAGTCGATAATGTGAAAACAAATTAATTTAATTATTTAACAGATTTTGCATTTATCTTACCATCATGCCACCTTTAAAATCCTGTCGGTAATTTTCGAGAAAACATTTAAGTCTACACTAACTGAGGATAATATGAAGAGGACGGTCGGTAACTTACCGACGGTTAATTTGACCATTGCAGTTATCTACGAGTAAGCTCTGAATTATTATAGGGGAATTATTAACGAACTATAAAAATAAAATTAATAAATAATGTTACTAAATCATTAGCTTTTATGGCTCACATATAATTAAATATACTCTTATTGACTCTCCCAGTATTAGATCATAGGTAGTGAAGTAATCTGTAATACCAACAGTCGAGGTAGATATCTACAATTATCTACCGTTGAGTAAATATTCATCCGTCGTACATTTCAACACTTGATATTCTATAATTTTTTTGCACAATGAATTTCGCTTACGCAAATAACTCGGTTTTCTATTCGTTATTTTAACGACATATTAACTTTATAATTTAGCTTCGAATAATTTAAAAACTCAAAATTAATGGTGTTTGAAAGTATTATAAAAACTATAGAATTTTTCTTATATAAACTTGTTAACGTTACTTTTTATAAATAAGGTTTATGATATATTATGTTGAAATATATTATAACGAAATGATAGCAGAATGAAAAAATGTAATAATTATTGTAAATAAAAGCGCAGTATTAATATTTGAATTGCAGAAATGAATATTTAAAATGGGATGAAAATTTATTTCTCACTTCTCCTATCCTTTGTCCATCAATGTAAATGCATAATTACGTTCGAAGGATATCGTTCATGGGACTATTAATTACTTATTCACTGATAATATTATTAAGTAATAAACATTGATAATGCGAATATATTTGAAGAGTAAATTTCCAATAATGTGATAGTAAAGATAGGTAATAGCTTAAATATTATACACTTAGATGAACATTTACATATTTTACCACATTTTACAACTTAATTCAGAAAATATGGTTTACTCAATAGTTCAATTTTCTTTTTCTTTTTTTTTTTTTGTCATTCAGAATTAAGATATAATTATAAGTTGGAGTATTAAAGTTATCGTTAAATTTAAATTTACATGTATTTAATCGTATTTGAAGGAAAGTATTATCAGCTTTTTTACCTTACATTTATCGTTAGTATTAGAAAATTCACTATTTATTTATACTCTAAAATATAATGCATTTAAAAAAATAATTCAAAGAATATATAAAAATATATGGATAAAAACGTTACAGCAAGTTTGAATTTCATTAAAATTCAAGTTTCAGAAGTATGTTTTTATCCCCCCCCCCACCCCAACCCCCGCCCCGCACATTGTATTTATTTATTTGCAAAAATTTAGGCAATCGACTTAAGATTATATGAATTTGAAGACAATTGTATTTTATTAATTTGAAATATATGTCATTAAGTAAATATATATATATATATATATATATATATATATATGAATATCTTAACAGTATTAAGTAAATTATGATAAAGAACTTGTTGTCTTCAGTAGAAATCTTCAGTAAAGTAATGAATAAATATATATTTTAAATATATATATTTTGAAAGAATATTCGCATAAAGACTCGATAATGATGATAAGTGTTATTAATTTTATATAAATTACTCCTAGTCTTATTTTGTAATTTATATTTATTCCAATGTGAAATTGAAATTTTTTTGAAAAAATTGAAAGTAAATATTAAGGGTAAAGAATCATGCGTTTATGCCTAATTGTTGGAACGAAAATTCATTTATTATCTGATGTTAGAAATGGGAAATAATTTTTACCAGTTGATGGTGAAATTACAGATATTGGAAAGGAAAACTGAGGGTCGATAATGGGAAATCTGCCGCTTGAAATAGGATAAGGAAGTTGGTTCTCAAATTCTCAAATGAATGGAAATTCAACTCGTACAGTTTTATATAAATATGAAATAATTATGCGATATTTGTTGATTAGTATTATTATCAATTAGTATAAAACGTTGATAATCAACATAATGAAAACATTTGTTTTGATTGAATCGACTTCTTTACACTTTAATGGAAGAAAGAAACAATGTGCTAATGGAATGCATACACGCACTAAGAATTTTCTTCAATACTTTGAAAATAAAATTTATAATAGCAAAATATTTAATTTATGATCTTTAGGATAAAGTCACAAGCCTTATGTAATTTAATATTACATAATATTAATAAGATTGAAGTGAAAATCAAACAACTCGTCTCTCTCAAAATCTACGCTTGGCTTTGAATTTCTAATATTTCCTTGTTGTTTGTTTGTTTGTTTGTTTGTTTGTTTGTTTGTTTGTTTGTTTGTTTGTTTGTTTGTTTTTCTCTTTTCTTAATTTTATTTTAATTTTTTATTTTAATAATATAAATTATTTTATGACATTATGAGTGAAATTCATTTACAACACAAAATCTTAAAATCAAATTGTATAATTGATGACGAAACACGTGAGCTGGATTATTTTAAGCCAAGCATGCGTGAACAAATAACCATATATAACGTCGCTTACGGATGATCATTTTCAAAATTTCTTAACAGCCGTTTTAAAAATCTGATTCTCTTATTGCGGAAAAAATGTCATATTACGATTGTTGTCAAATTGACGATGAGATAATTATGGAAATAACATTTACGGGCGTGTTTCTCTCCCTTTTTATCTTCATCGTTTATTATTATTTGTTTATACATTTATTTATTTATTTATTTATTTATTATTGTGTTTGCATTAATTGTCGCAGTCATTTGGTAGAAGGATGAAAAATTTTGTCATGTCGATGAATAACAAAATATGAAAATCTCTAGTTAAATAGAACGGTCTTTACTTAAGAATCTTACCAAAATTTACAGTATCTCCAACTTTAACACAACAACAACTTATCCACCATTAATGCTGAAGCATTATGACCATCATAATTAAAAGAATTTATTGCGATTTTACGATTAGCAGCACTGTTGATTGACCGTATGTTCGTGTTTGAAAAGCTTGGCGTGTACCTGCGTTAAACAGTCGACGTCCAGTCGCGTTGCGTGCAAGACCGAGGACACGGAGCAACGTTCCGGTGTCCTTTACACAAACACAAGTCCGAGAATCACAGGTATTTGCTCACAATATTTGCTTTATTAACTGAGAGTAGGAATGATCTATGAATAATTATAGGAGAATAAAAATTGTGAGTAGTGAGGTGAGTCGAGTATTAAATGGGATTATAATCGGTGAATAAATGTAAATAGGACTATTACGTGTATTGGCACGCGGCTTCCTTTCAATGTATTAATCGCGAATATTCAATTGATCTAACATGTATAATAAATACTGCCAGAGCAATCATGCCCGAACCGAGCGATCTTCCTAAATGTTTGTTTATTTTAAAAATAACGATTTCGTGACTTCCTTCGACACTCGGCTCGATATATAATTGCATTGAGAAAAATTTTTCCCAGTCAAAAAGATCCTTTGGAACTTTCATACACAATACTCATGTCAACAAAACTCACCATCAGACTATTCTATACATCTATCAGCGCTACAAAAGAATTACAACATTAATTTAAAATGAAAATGTATACATTCTGACATTACAGTTAATAATGAATTTAAATGAAAATAATTATCAAGGTATCGTAATACCAATGTACATTATTATTAATAATATTACAGTTGTATGAAAATTTGATAATATAATATTATATAACGTATAATTTTTCTAACTGTTAATAATTAAACCGGAGTTCAACCGGACTCTCGAGTAAATCTTACGTACCTACTACAAATACATATGTATAATCACGCACGGACACACACATACGTTTGTAATACAATTAATGATGAAAATCATTAAGTAATAAACTGTAAACTTATTCGTTAAATAAACTAATTTCGTTTAATTCGTGCTTTCAACTACTAGTATGTTGAAACAATTAATAATGGCAAGAGTAGAGCAAGTAATGGGAATATTAAATAATTAATTGAATCGTAATTTTCTAGACGCCAAAGGACATAAAAGCTTAAATAATTATTTTTCAGGGCCGGTTATCGTCGTTGAAAACACAATAACAATAAGCAATTGCGCTTATCCATATACGAAAAAATGATTGTCGTGACGAGCGGATTATTAAAAATATTATTATAACAATTATTCGCATAATTTGCAATGTACTGTTAAGAAAATTTTCTAGTTTTTAATTGTTTAAACTTTTTTCTTTTCTACGGCTATTTAAATAAAATATGCTTCATTTTACTTATAATTGTAGGGTTATTTTTTTTGTTTTTGTTTGTTTTTTTTTTTTTTGTTTTTTCTTCACTTACTCATACAACAATCTCCATAGAAAATAATTGTAATATAAATTATTGAAAATGATTTGAAAACAAAAATAGTTTCTCATTCGATGAATTATGATACATAATGAAAATGAAAAGATAATAAGGGAGTAAATAAATTTAATACATATAATATATCAATAAAATTGCAATACGCAATACCATTGATATTCAAATTAAGTACATTATGAAATAAATCATTAAAATATGAAAATAACAAAAAAAAAAAAGGAAAAATAGAGCGGTGGATGTATAGGAAATGAAAATGTTACGTATCATAAGACTTTAATATTACGTTCAGTGCCTTCGTTATAAATATTAAATAAAATCGATTTGATGATCGATTGAAAGGAACGATAATGAAATTAACCGTATCATTATAAATCACCTCTTCCTTCAATTTTACGTTAATTTTTATTACTTTAAATATCTGCATTAAAGACGTTAATTGCAGCATCTCATTTCATTATCCAAAATATCATGTGCGTGCGATGTCGTTTCAATCATCTTTTTCCTTCAATGTCCATCCTCTTTATCATTGCACTCCTCTTCCACATTTATGTCTCCGATATTATAATTACAATTGACAAAGTATTCATCGTTTAATCAACACTACTACACATGCGCTCGAGCTAAAGAGGATGGTTTTATCAACATCGCGGCGTACTCGAGCGCTCGTCCCTGGCCGCTCGCCTAAATTTCCCTTTGAATAACAATTCGCGAGGTCGATCGCTCCGCCGAGAAAGGACGATTCGGCGATAGCGCTCGTCTCACACACGCACGCACGCACGCACGTACGCACGACCCCACCCCCTCCTCCTCCCGCCCCGCCCCGCCCCGTAAAATCCATCGTTATAGAGCGTGTCCAGCCACCAGTTCAGTCTGTAAGCTAACGAGGCCGGACGTTATCTTTCAAACAGCAGCCGAGACGAGAGCCATGACCGCCCTGACCCTGGTGATGAAAGAGCTCCCGGACCTCGACCCCGACGAGTTCTTCAACGTGCGGGCCTACTACTGCGGCGGCAAGGACTTCCGACAGGTGCTAAGGAGGGCCCGGCCACCGTCGCCGACCAACAGCGAGTCTAGTGGCATAAGCAGCCTCACGTCCTCCTCGACCGGCGAGGACGAGACGCAGACGGCGACGGCCAAACCCGGCATAGGCCCGAGGGTCGACTGCTCCCGCGAGACCATCAAGACGGTACTAACATTTCATCCCTCTAAACACCGGCCGATGGGGCCCCGCGGGCGCCATACTCTTACTCTCTCTCTCTCTCTCTCTCTCTCTCTCTCTCTCTTTACCTATCAATCTCTAACTATCTATCTATTTAGTTTAACTATCTCTCTGTTTCTCTATCTCGGCGCTTTTATCGGCGGATGAACCCGTCGGCTCTCAAGGCTTAGGCCCCTCCCACTCTCCTTCCTACTACTGCACACCCGGCACTGATCTCTAAGACGCGATGCCCAAGTGTCTTTGCTCGCAAAGAGGATGTCACTTTATTGGTCCAGCGCTTCTGATGTTGCACCGCGCGATCGATAGACCAGAGCGAGACTCGTTAAGGACTCGAGCTTCCGAGATAATTTGGCGGACTGTGTCTTTACGAACTGCCGTGACATTTTTCTGTTAAGAAATGCGCCGACGGAATGTCCGTGACTGTACTGCAAATCCATTGCCGTGGTGTGTTAATACAAGGTTTCGCCCCGCCCGCAACGCAATTATTAGCTTCGTGTTTAGGTTCGCGAATAGAGACGAGTTTTAGTATTTATTTAAGTTGGCCCTTCACACACACACATATTGATCGTGCGTTTTTGTTCGTTGTTGTTGATGTTGTTGTTGTTGTTTTTTATTGTTTTTTTTTCTCTATTGTTTTTCTTCTTCTATTGTTTTTTTATTGTTTTGTTGTTGTTGTTGTTGTTGTTGTTGTTGTTGTTGTTGTTTTAATCACGTGGCGTCTAGCATCGGATTTCAGTGGCTCGAGCCTTCGTTGTAAAGTTGATTTTATTGTTACCAGCGCGTGCTTTAGGCGCTTTTAGTCAAACGCATAAGAGCATAATTATAAGTGGCCTCATTCGCTTAAGACCTCACACATCTACATGCGCATCGAATTAATTTATTTATTGATATTTTCCTATTTCAGATACCGCAAGTGGATATTAGAAAGCAGTTCCATTACGACAAAAGCAGAAGCAATGATCGAATACTCTATTGCGGTCGTGATATATTAAACCTCGAAAGAAACACGCAACCGTACAAATGGCAACTGACGTCGCCTCTATTTTGCTTTTTAAATCCTCGCGTACCTACAAAATACAGATCTTATTTACGATTTAATGGTGACTTTCTACGTGAGGACTATCCAATGGTAAGACAATATGAACATTCGACGAATGCCGATGTTTAACGTTTAAAAAAATTGTTATTGTTGTTGCTGCTGCTGCTGCTGCTGCTGCTGTTGTTGTTGTTGTTGCTGCTGTTGTTTTTTTTTTTTTTGTTTTTGTTTTTTTTGTTTTTGTTTTTTTTTTTATGGTTTTGTTATCGTTATTTGTTGTTGGTGCTGTTGTCGTCGTCGTCGTCGTCGTCGTCGTCGTCGTCGTTATTATACTTACTATAGTACTAGCACACATTAATTGGGAAGAATTTTTTTTAATACTCAATAGTCGTGTGACAATCTCTTACGTTAAACGAAAAAGTTAAAAGAGTAAGAGATAAACAATGCCTTAAATACTACTTAAATACGATAATATGCAATGATATTCCGTTGAGTCGCGCTAATGAGTAATTTCACCATTCAATGATCCAATAAGATTTTACTTTTAATAAATGCCATTCTCTTACCACTAATGTTCATCCAAATAAAACTGTTGTAAATTAAAAATTGTAGATATTATTGTCGTCGTCGTCGTCGTCGTCGTCGTCGTCGTCGTCGTCGTCGTCGTCGTCGTCGTCGTCGTCGTCGTCGTCGTCGTCGTCGTCGTCGTCGTCGTCGTCGTCGTCGTCGTCGTCGTCGTCGTCGTCGTCGTCGTCGTCGTCGTCGTCGTCGTCGTCGTCGTCGTCGTCGTCGTCGTCGTCGTCGTCGTCGTCGTCGTCGTCGTCGTCGTCGTCGTCGTCGTCGTCGTCGTTATTATACTTACTATAGTACTAGCACACATTAATTGGGAAGAATTTTTTTTAATACTCAATAGTCGTGTGACAATCTCTTACGTTAAACGAAAAAGTTAAAAGAGTAAGAGATAAACAATGCCTTAAATACTACTTAAATACGATAATATGCAATGATATTCCGTTGAGTCGCGCTAATGAGTAATTTCACCATTCAATGATCCAATAAGATTTTACTTTTAATAAATGCCATTCTCTTACCACTAATGTTCATCCAAATAAAACTGTTGTAAATTAAAAATTGTAGATATTATTGTCGTCGTCGTCGTCGTCGTCGTCGTTGTTGTTGTTGTTGTTGTTGTTATTATTATTATACATAATATTCTCTAACCTCGAAAATTCACCGTACAGTTTTGTTATTCGATTGGAATAATAAAGTTGATAAGGAGGGCTTGATAATCTAAAAAATTGATTACGCGTATCCAATTATATGTGGAAAAAATAGATTGAAAAAATGTAATAAGCTATTGTAAATATTAATAAATAAATTCAGCAAATCGATAAATCCGTGCTTTTATTGTCAATGTTCGTAAAGCCCATTACGAATAGACAAGCATATAATCGTAATGCATCGCATCCATTAATAAAGCATTAAAACCTGGATGTTTAATTTTTAGGAGACGTGTCTCAAGTGCGGTTTCAGTCAACCTTCATCATTCACGTGAAAAACAAGATATACTATGTCAAGTATCGCAACGTTGTACGTTCGACTATCTGTGATAGTTAGACCAAAAGCGGCAGCCGGTTGATCGAGAGAATAATTTATTGTGTACACAGACAAGAAAGCGAAAACAATGCGTCACACGAAAGTGTTATTTACTTTCAGGTCTCGCGCTGTATAGTTTCACTGACTGATTATCTCTCAAATCGGTAATGGGCTGCATCTGTTATTTATTGGATATTGTCAATATCCTTGACCCCTATATTTTTAAGCGAAAACGTTTATGAGAATTTTTACTTTTGAGTGAAGCTTTCGCTTCAGATAAGTGAATATACATTCTAAGTTAATTGAGATTGAGATTTTATACTAAACAAATTGAAAAACATGATGCTCTAACGCTTTTATGAAATTTTAGTTCAAATTAACAATCATTTTCTAGATTATAAAGATTAAATAATTATTTCACAAATAACAAATATTGATTTGTTCTTATTTTATTATTTTATCGGGGGTTGTCAATAATATCCGTTTATTTTAAAGTAAAATTTCATTACTAAAATTTACAATGTTATTTTCGAGAGTTCGAAAATTATTTTTTTGATTTTCGAATCATCATACGTCAATGTAAAAGCTATTTTTTACTTTGATTATGAAATCTTAATGAGTATTCGCTTCAAAAATTTTGAAGCGTATAAAATAATGAAGGAGAGAGAACGTTTATGTAGGAAATATTAGAAAAATATTAGATCGAGAATGTATTTCTCGAATTTATTGATACGCGTTCTAAGCGAAATCATTGTACAACTAATTTTGATAAATATTTATACGCGTATATTTAATTTATTTTCATACCCGAACGATCAAACATGCGAGGTAAAGTCCACTTAAATTGTAATATAAATTACTTCATTCTAAGTAGACTTTACTTCATATTTTTGATTACGTGTATTTAGTTATACGATGATTTAGTTATACGAAAAGTAGATGGAAACGCGTATATATATATGTGTGTGTGTGTGTCAATACGATATTGACATAATTGCATGTTTATACATTATTTAGACGATGAAAGAAGATATTTCAAATTATTTTTGATTTATAAGAATAGTAAAAGATACTACATATTCTAGCCTAGGAAGAAAAGATTTTGATGCTTTGTTATTTGTATTAAATGATCTGTTATTGGTTTACGAATTATAACTATCTTATGCTTAAAGCCAAAATTGATTATTCAAACTAATTATATATATATATACAACAAAAAACAAAAACAAATGAAAGTGTGTGTGAGAGAGAGAGAGAGAGAGAGAGAAAGAGAGAGAAAGTTTAAAAATCACAAATCACATTTTCTTTACATTTTTTTTCCCATAATTATTATAATTTCTGTTCACGTTTGGCTTAAGCACAACGAATATACTGTGCATCTAATTCATTAGAAAATTCTTGTAATTTATTCAATAAATTTCATCATAAATCGTTATCATAATTTATTTTATACGTAAAGAGAAAAACTTTATAGGGTAAATCGAGTAGCATATCGAGTTTAATTGTAACATATCCACTTCTCTACATTATAATTAATCTAACTTAGCTCTAATGTTGTAAAAAGTATGTACAAACATCAAGACTAATGCATTAATAAAAATGCATCATATTTAAACTTTTGTAACAAAATATAATTTACCCTATTTTGGTATTAAAATTTTTTCTATAGGTGTCCGACACTGCAAAATCGTCTATTGCACATAATTTTTTAAATTATAAGTAAAATATGTATGTAATTATTTTTATTATGTTAATATAAATAAGACTGATATGAGTAAATAAATAAATTTATAAATTTGCAATTATATAAATTCTCTGTCAATTATCAATTAATACTTAATAATTGATTATTAAGGTCTTCTGAAGCATTGAATAATACTTGATTGATTATTATTAGATTTGAAAATTAAAAGAAATATTTTAATTTTTAAATCAAATTCAATATTTATTTAAAAGGATATTTAGCAAGCATTGATATATCTATATATATATATATATATATATATATATATATATATATATTTCAAATCGAATAAGATTAGTTTTACTAAATTTTTGTAAAATTTCACGTATTTTCAATGTTATTTGCCTCTAACAAGTAACTATTGTTCTAATGTTTTTTTTTCTATGAAATTTTTAAGTTTTTTCAACAAAGTAATGGTTTTCAATATTTTTGTCTTACTGTCATTACAAATGGTACTAATTTTTAATTTCACTTTCACTTCACTTCTAAAATAGAAGAAAAAAAACAATTCAGGTTGATTTTTCAACGATTGCACGTTTTTTTAATATATTTTTCTTTAAAACAAATGATATACAATAAAAATTTAAACTTCTACCTTATTCTCTATATTTTACAGCATCGATATTTAATTAGGGAGCAATTTTTATAAAATAATTATTTTTAAATGTGCAATATTTTTCTATAATATGTGAGCAGCTTATAATGAAATATTTGCGCTACTCGCTTATCTTTAGACACGAATTACCGAAGTATTTTTATCATTATTTTTATCTCAAAACGAATTTGATAATTCTTAGCTAAGGTATATATAGAAATATTATTGTATATAAATAGATATGTCCCACCATTTTCCCATATTACTAAATATTTTGATTTTCTTATTCTTTACTTAAATAGTTAAGCATTGAAATCTCCCTCAAACATGATATCTCTCCATACAAATTATGAATAATAAATATTATATGTATATATATATATATATATATATATAGGGTGGATCCATTCAAAAATTTGAAGTTTAATAAACTCTAGCAGTTCTCTTTTCATATTTACATTTATTTATTTATAAATTCATAAGATTGTTGCAATTATATGAAAATGTACGAATACTACCTTTATCGTTACTTCATGTTAATTTAAATTAAATTAACTTCTATTTAGCTCTATGGGAAAAAATGGCGATAACGTAAACGCTAAATAAATTATAACTATTGTAACGACATAATTATATTTTTAAAACATATTTTTACGCTTTTATTCTTTAAAAGAAAAGAAAATGCATATCAATTTAAAATTTTTATCAACGCTCTATTTACGTGAAATAATCATATAATCATTAAAGTTTATTTTTTATGAAAGAATTTGGTTACATATTCTTGTTTGTATTAATTGTCCTACTTTAAAAAAAAAATATATATATATATATATAAAATAAAAATTAAACTAAAAAATATTTCACAATCTTTAAGAAACACAATTTATATGTATCTCCTTTGTATTTTAATATTACATATCAATATGGAAGGTATTGGTAAAGGAAAACTATATCGAAAATACATATGGTATCCAGCAAAAACTCTGATCTTGTATTTTCTTTAATTTTCATTTCATAAAAGTAAAATAATAAATATTAGATGAAATTTTTGTAGACCGGAGAGCCATAGGATACATATAATGTAATGTTAAAGTATGTTAAGTATTAAATAGTAAAAGTATGAAGATGACTGAATTTTTAAAAGTTTAGGTACATGGATGGTAATATAACGTTAATATTAATATTCTTATTGTTATAATATTTTTAGTCCTCATAATATTATTAATTTTAATTAAATTATAGATAAAATTAGAACAATAATGTATTTTATATGCCCCAATACCAAAAAATAAGATGGAGAAATTACGATTGTTGTTATATAAGGTTTTTAAAATAATATGAATTTTTCTTATGAGAATTAATTTACCGCACCATTAATTCTACTGTAAAAAATATTTTTACTTATTGACAAAAATTTATTATTTAAAGAAAATTAGCATATTATCTGTAACAACACTTTTCTATTCACCATTACATAACTATTAATTTTTCAAATCGACTTATACGTAATAATATCAGATTAATAGTTATTTCAAATCAAATACAAATACTTTCACATACAAGATTTTTTAATTAAAAAATGTATAAACATTTATTTAAAAATTCTTATAAATACGGTACTACCAGGTGAAAGTTGGATAGGAAAGAGCTGAGGGGTTCGTTTGTGCTTTTCTTACTATACACTATTTTAGCTACTTTGATTAAGACAGGAATGAAAAATTTTCATACATAATTTGATATATTTTTCGTCCTTTCGTTAAAATATAACACTTTTGATATATACACACGCGCGCGCGCGCACACACACACACGCACACACACACACACACGCACACACACACACACACACGCACACACACACACACATATATATATATATATATATATATCAGATTATTATGGATTTAAAACGTTACCAGCCCCGTAATGTCATTTACCGAGAGTTTTTTCTTATTTATCATCATTTCTTATATATCAAATGAATTGAAATACACCTGTAGTTTATAAGTATTAGTGTGAATGAAGAAAACAAAAAAAACCTTCTTTAATATTGAATAGTTTTTCAAATATATTACTTCTAAAAACAAGAGTACTTCATTTCAATAGCCATTATTAATTCATATGGATTTTTATTTAATAATTGGAAAACTTTATTATACTTACAATAGTTAATAAAATTTTTACCATTATTTATGTAATTGAAACAATGAGGAAAGAGCAAATAGTTCAACATCCTTGAGAATATTTCCCTTAAAGTGATTTGAGCAATTGCAGCCGTTTAATTTAAAATGTCACTCGTGACTTTCCTAACTCGATGAGAAAATCATTAACTATAAGATAAACAGTTTCTCCGAAGTGCTATAAACGTCCTCGCATTACTCATCCGCTACAGTTAAAAATGGCCGAAGGGCGGAGGGAGAGTTGCACACGGGTTCGCAAAATACGAAAGATAGTCGTAAGTGTGAGATGTGCGCGACTATTCAGATATTGTTGTTATTGTTAGGGGAACAATCGGACGTCAATAGAATGCACCGGCACAATGTATTTATTCAGGTGCGACCAGTGGTGTTCAACCACCGCTATCCTCTGAATCCGTGACGAGTTTTCTTGTCCTCTTTGCCGCTCCTTCCCTCTCTAGCTCTCTTCCTTCCACTCTGGCTCATTCGCGCCCCCAATCCGACACCCCCATACATACGTACAGACACATATCTATATATCTATTTTTATATATCTATATATATTTTTTTGTTTTTTTTTTTTTTTTTTTTTTTA